AGTCCATCGCAAACTTTGCTACTGAAAGCCAATACTGTGGAAAAATATCACTAGCGACTGGCAGGATGGATCAGGATGAACCGGCCAAAAGCGCAAGAAGGACAAGGCTCTGACAGTGCCTAATAGCCTCGAAGCAAGGTAGGACTGTACTAGTTGGAAGGATGATCTCTCTTCATCTGCATAGAAGAGCTTCACCGACAACAGTATAGTACATAATGTGTAAATATAAGTGTGTGTGGGTGTGTAGATGTAGCTGGAGCGAATGAGTGTGGGAGTGTACGTGATTAATGAGTTATGAGTAGTGAGTGAGTGATTTGCAAATTAGGAAGGAGCATGTGGTGTGATTGGGTATGTGTATGTGTGTTGTGTTTGTGTTTGTGTTGTGTGTGTGTGTGTGTGTGGTGTTGTGTGTGGTGTGGTGTGTGGTGTTGTGTGTGTGTCGTGTTTGTGTTTGTGCCGTGTGTGTGTTTGTGTTTGTGCGCGTTGTTGTTTTATGTGTACAGTGTAATGCGAGGAGTGAGTGGAGTTAAGTGCAAGTGGAATGGTGAGATGAGACTGAGTGGAGTCCAGTAAATGAATTGGGATGTGAATGAGTGACTGTGAGTACGAAGTGAATGACATGAGCAAGTGATGTGATGATTGAGTGCAAGTGCAGAGTGAGAGTAGTGAATGGATGTGGGGGAGTGAGAGTAGTGAAACGAGTATGAGTGAGTGACTAAGTGAGTGATGTGAATGAGTGGGTGAATGAGGGAGTGAGTGACGTGGAATGTGTGAGTGAGGAATGTGTGAGTGAGGAATGTGTGAGTGAGTGAATGCGGAGTGAGTGAGTGAGTGACGAGTGAGTGAGTGAATGCATGAGTGAGTGAAATATGAGAGAGAGAGAGAGAAAGAAAGAGTGAGAGTAAGAGTAAGGGTGAGATGTGGAGATGAGAGTGAATGAGTGAGAGTGAGAGTGAGGAGTGAGAGGAGAGTGAAGTGAGACAGAGTGAGACAGTAGTGAGACAGAGTGAGACAGAGTGAGACAGAGTGAGACAGAGGAGACAGAGTGAGACAGAGTGAGACAGATTGAGACAGAGTGAGACAGGTGAGAGAGAGAGAGAGAGAGAGAGAGAGAGAGAGAGAGGAGAGAGAGAGAGAGAGCGAGAGAGAGAGACGAGAGAGAGAGAGAGGAGGAGAGAGAGAGGGGGGGGAGAGGTAACACTCATATTCTAATATTTTTAGTTCTAGATTTTATTGAATATTTTACCCATACCTTAGTTTCAAGTTTTGATTATTTTGCAAAACTCCTTGAAGCTTCAAATATCTGCAGCCCTATCAATGGTTTAAATTCTTCATCCATATTCGCCATTTAAATATATCTCCATACATCTGTGGGTTGAAAAATGACATCCTGTCAATCAAATGCGTGTTATTATTTTTTTAGTACTAATATTGACTTTCACTACCTTTGGTAAGATTTGATTATACAACTGATACCCAACAGGCTGGAAAATCTTTTTTTTTTTTTCACTTGTCCAGGGAGGACAAGTACACCAACTTTCCACTCATCCTCTCGAAACCACTCGTCCGAAATATTTATAATATATATTATAAAGAAATTATCCAACCTTGTGAGATATGAAAACTAATATAAATAACTAATATAGAAACAATATAAACAAAAAGTATGGCAGGCATCCATAATCATAGAACTGAAAGGAATAGACCTGCTAGATTCATAATTTTAGGGAAAATCTACTGGAAAATTTTTGCTCGTCCATTGCGGGACAAGCGAGGTAAACATTTTACCTTGTCTCCACAAGTTTACACTCGTCAACAGACGTGCGGACGTGGGATTTTCGCAGCCTGCCCAAAAAACTGTTCAATTCAGAGACAATTTTCTAAATTTTAGTTCACGCGGTTGGGTAATAGAGAGAGAGAATTCTGAAAAATTTCCGTTATCTTTGCAGTGACTTGTTGTGTCCGACAGACAAAAAAGTTCAAGTCTGTTCATCCATCACTTTACAAAACAGAAGAGGAAGGTTATGGTTTTCATGAGAGACCCCGACAAAGAAGTTGAATTTTCAGGCATCTTTCTTCAAGCTCGTGTTGCCGGTTCTCTATTACGCGTAAGTCGCTACGGTTTAATTCCTCTTGTGGTAATTCTCTTAGAGCTTGTGAATTTTGTTTTTGTTGTTTAGGCAGAAAATTAGAAAATATGGTGATGTTGCAGTTGAGTGGATTGTCTTTGGGAAGTTTCGAATGAGCATGTAAAGGTCGGACTCTCTAGAAAGGGATAGATCGGTTATTTTCAAATGAGTTTGGCGGCTGATAGAAAAGGAAGTTGCTCTTTGCAAAATCAAAGAATTAACCCATATCGCCACAGATTATGTTCTGTCCCCTGTAGTTTTTGTTGACATTTGATACATACCGATGCTCCAAATGTGCCTCAGCTGGCAAGAGGCTATCCAGTAGGCCCTAGTACCGACCAGGATTTTTCCAGTCATGAATTCGCGGGAAAATCAATACCATTGATTTGATACTTGTTATTATGTATTGATTCTTATGATTAGTGAAATGGTCATTAGATATTTTTGAACAATGAAATGATACAAATAAAACCTTTCCTAAAGTGAAGGAAAAGGGGTGATAAACAGGTGAAATAGGTAGTTCTTGATAACTGGGCTATTTGGTGATTAAGAACTTGTAGAGCCATCTATGTGTAAATACACAAATAAAACGTGTTATCAAAGTGGGTATGGCATCTATTCTTGCCGCGTGGGCGAATGGGTTAACTAAGCTGTAAGGGGCGGAACAAGAGGCACAATCACATTTTCATTAAATTTGTAGAAGGACAAGATACAATATCACTGCAATATCTGTTAATCAAAGAATAAGAAAAAAGAAATAACAAGCTTCAATTTCCACTATGTACTGACTAGGCTAATTGGGATTTTCTTTGTTTTTCTTAAAAAAAAAAATTATGTTTGTCAGTGCATCTCGAATATGATGTAGATAATAGTTATGGAGATGACTAAGTCCTCCTGCAACCAATTTTACAAGTTAAATATACAGCAAACTTAATCATCATTTTTGCAATGACCCCATTCATGATTATACATCAGGACATGCATGCACACATCATATAGACATTATCCATCATCATTATGCCTGTTTCTCTTTGTCCTTGGCCAGGAATCACAAGAGAATATAAACAAAAGAAAAGTATATAGTTCAAGAAACCAAATTTGGGATTCATGTGTGCAACTACTAATATCATCAAAGGATCACGCTTTTCCGAGTGGATTTAGTCATACAAGTATGACCTCCCAACACCGCTCAGGTATGTATTCGTTATGACATCATTGAATCAGTAATTGTGAATCCGTTAGGCTTTTCATGATCAGTTACAGTACAAAAGGCAATCATCTACAGGTACAAGCAACAGCCTATTGAAAAGAATAGAGTGGACTTTTATACTAATGCATATCTTTATTGCAGATAAAAGATGGAAAAAAAGTACTGTAAGGAAAGTCCAATTATTAGATGACTTCCTTTTTTTTGTTATAGTGAGTACTGTGAGCGCATGGCAAGAGTTAGCGAGCACCGGATAGATCAGCCTTTAATGTTGATGAGAAAGGGGAGAAGAAGTTGTTAAAAAACCTGAAAAGCAAAACATAAAGATGAACAAAACAAGGACTTGCCTCGCTGTTGAAGATATTCAGCAAAAGGTATGGGTTGTTGTTTTTTTTTGTTCCATTATGAGATCTCTGGCTTCAGTGCTTTTGTTCTATATTGTCCTATTAATTTTCTTTAATGATGACAAAGCAAAGATTATGGTGTTGATACTCTTAACTTTTAAGTGCTTTTAACTGTTGCATAAATATTTCTTAGGTAATGAGACTTAGTAGAGGCTGTAAGTCTAGTTTTAAAGGGCTTTATCACCACAGCAAATGCAGCTGTTTAGTGTGCACAAGTTTTAGCAGGCATAATCACACTTATAAGATATGAAGACATCATCCTGGTGTGAGGAATGGTCTGCCATGACAGGTTAAGACATCATCATGGTGTGAATGGGTTACGCTGCCTCCTCCTCCTCCTCCTCCTCTTGTATGATTAATCAATACTATTTTATTACAGATTATTCAGTTGATGAAAGAGAATGAAGTGTTGCAGGAAAAGGCAATGGATGCAGTGCCTGATTATATTAAGGCATCAGAAGAATTTCTCTCTAACTCCTGAAAAATCCACAAAAATTAGACCGAGCCAAGGTGAGATTTTAGTGTTTATTTGATAGTAAGTGACATATAATTAGACACTTATTTCATATGCCTGTAATCTATAGGTAACATAGGTGTAAATATTATATACTGTGTATTTCCCTAATTATTGTACGTTATATATTGTGCATTTGCTTCTCTCTCCAATGCAGATCTTTATGAGCTTTGGTTTGAAGGCCACTATGCCGTGCACAGTTACTGAAAAAGAAGAAAGAAGAAGAGGAAGAAAAAGCCAGAGAGGAACAAGAAGGAAGATCAGACAATAGGGGCGAGGGTCAGTCAGGAGTTGATGGAAGAGGTGGTAGGGGAGGAGGAAACACAAATTTGGGTAGAGGGTTTGGGAAAGGAATTAGACGATTCGACTATGGCGAAGAAGGTGGCAAGGCAGTGAGACGATCGACTATGGCAAAGGGGGTGGTAAGGGAGGGGAACAACCGGAATTTCGCAGAGGGGTGGTAGCAGAGGTGGACGACCAGGTTTTGGCAGTAGGGGCGGGAGAGGAAGAGGTGGACGACCAGACTTCGGGAGTAAGGGGGGTCGGGGAGGCAAACGACCAGATTTTGGCAAGGGGGGCAGTAGAGGAGGTGGTAGGGGTGGTAGGGGAGGGAAGCGACCATCATTTGGTGACAAGTGGTAGAACTTGTGAACATGACAGGGAAGGAAAGAATTCAGAGAATATGTACATTTTCTTTTCCTTTCTGTAATATAAAATGTTTAATAATTTTAAGTGTTTCTCTTTTAATTCACCTCTCTTGAATGAAATATTATATAGGCTTTCAAACACAACAGTGAATAGAATCTATGATTTATTTTTTCATATGATTTTAGATATCAGGTAATTTCCTTTATTTTTAAGTATTCATATTTCAAGCAACATCCTTCAAGGAATTTGGAAGCAAAATATATTTTTTTGAATGAAAGAATTGAGTCATGACAGTATTTTTCTTACGTAAGACCCAAACTTCACTTGTCATGGCAACTTTCCCATTAAATTCTTTTTACTAATGGAGTTTATCTTCAGAGAATCAAAAGGATTTTCTATGGATAGCGAGGTTTGCTCATTTGAAAGTATGCACGTTGGAAGGTGTTCATAGATTAGTTTCCTGAAAATGTGCTTATTAAATGTTTTTTTTGGGTTTGAATTAGATGGAATCTGTGACATAATGTTAATCTGCTGGCATGAATGCACTGTAATCTTATGTTTGCAGTGCAGTAACATGAAAATATGGATGCTTCAGTTACAGATGAAAGTTTAAAGCAAAAAAAATATTTAGTAAATGTATTTTCATGCAAGTAGTATTAGAACACTTTTAGACTCACATAACCACGTATAAAAAGTTTATCGCTATGTGAATTTAGTCAAGAGATCTAGAACGATTTTTTTCCCCCCCCAATCCCTTGCCCGTTGTTGTCGTGGGGGGGCTTAGGAGGCGGAGACTGGGACCCAATGATGGGGAACTCCCCAACCTTGGGACTCAGCCCTCGACTCAACTAATTATGCATGGTCTTTTTTTCCCTTCCCACTTTTGTTTCTGTCCCTTCACCAAACCCTTCTGCTATCCACCTCCTAAGGTGTGAGAGCCGTGCTGAAAGGATGAAAGGCTGACTTTGTGCCAGTCCTGAACGGCCTGAGGAACCATGGGCACGGTATTCCCCTGATTTAGTTATCTAGCCCTTACCCCTCAAGGGGACCCTGAGGGGTGGACTGCTTTTATCCCCAACATAATTCCAGGCTTCCATGGCCAGTAATGAAAATATATCCCCACTGTTAGGGGCAATGAGGCTTGCCCCTTTATCAAATAGCCCCAACGAAGTAAACCCACCCGATTCCCCGACCCCAGGCTCTCCTTTGACCATGGCTCCAAACACTGCAATAACTACCCCTTCACCAATGCTACTAGTACAGTAGCCAACAATCAACCCTCAAGGGACATTTCCACTCTCCCAGCATGCCCAACTTCAACACCTCTACCCCCACAACCTCCAACATCAACCACCCCATCCTCCCTTATTAATACCTTACAGCCTTATAGCCCACCTCTCCATAACACTACCTCCATCAACACTACTCCATCTTCGTCACGCCCTCGCCCTTCTACCACCCCTATCTCTAAAACAATCTTGAATACTCTCTTCAGTGCAGCCAAATGGGACCGATTTTTTCGTGATCCCTCCCACAGCTCCCTACTCTAACAACACCCTTCTCTTCCAACAATGCCTCCAAAAACAAGTAGGTAAAGTCTCTTTCCGTAGCCGACCCGACCGCTCCCGTCTTGTAACAGTAACATCCGAAAACCAAGCCATAGCACTAACAAAACTAACTGACCTATATGGTAACCCCATCCTAGCAGAACCCCATCCAACCCTCAATACTTGCACCGGAACAGTCTCAATCTCACCAACAAATTGCCCAATCTATGACAAAGAATGGTCAGATTGTGGAGAAGATCTACTTGCCTGTCTCACAGACTACGATGCAACATCAGTACAATGCTATTCCATCCCCCCCAGAGGTCATCGAAAGAAACCCACTAACATAGCCAAATTACCTTCCGTAGACATGACCTTCCCTTTAACGTCTACATAGGAGGAGAATCCCTCCCTGTTCGTCCATACCAACCTCCTCCACGTCAGTGCCAAAATTGTTGGCGTCTAGGACACCCAAGCAAACACTGCCGTTCCACAGCCAGATGCCCATTATGTGCCCAACCTGGCCATACTCGATCTAACTGCTCTGCACAATCACGCACATGTGCCAACTGTGGCGGCCCCCATAATGTATTTTATAGGGGCTGTCCCACCTACAAATTTGAATCTGAGGTAGCAACTCTCAGATTCAAACTCGGACTCACACTGCGTGAAGCCAGACAGGAAGCACGTCGACGTGGATTCTCTCTTACTCCTTACTCCAGTAATACTGCTCATCCTAACACTTCTCCTAAACCCACCCCTCCTACATCTAACCCCCCCACTAACCCCACCTACCTTCCCCAGTCAAACTCTTTTGCCATCCTAAATCCAGAAACTCCAATCTCTACTACAGATACTCCAATCACCACTACAACCCCAACACCTTCCCCTCTCCCTCCTCGCACTCCCCGTAACAGACAGAACAAACGTTCCACCCCTCTTCCCCTACCACACAATCACCCCCGCCATCCTTTGCCCGTACTCTTGAGACACCAGTCCTCTCTTCCCCCCTCACAAGAAATCCTTTATCCCCCAAAACTCCCCAACCAACTCCACAGAAGAAACTATTGAAAATATTCAAGATTACTTAATGAAAACCGACACTCAACCTACAACTCCTGCTCCTTCCACACTCCAAGTAATTGCTGATATCCATCCTCCTCCTAACGATATCCCCCCTACACCCTACCCTCCTACCCCCTCCCAACACAGCCCATCCCCCCTGACCCTGCCCACATTAACTCTCCCACCATCCCCTCTATCCCTTCCACTCCCTCCTGGATACACACGTGAATCCCTTATGTCACAAGTATCCCCTTCCTCAGACCCTCCATCTCCTACTACCCCTCCTGATAGAACACCAACTCCCACACCTCTCCCATCTCAAACCTCTCAGTCCTTATCCCACCCTCTAGCTGCTTCCCCTTCAAATTCTCCAACACGTACTACAATCTATATCACTAAATCAACGAAAGTATAACTATCCTTCATTGGAATATTCGCGGTTTCCGCTCCCACAGACCTGGACCATCATATCCTTTCCTCTTATAACCCATCTATTGTATGCCTTCAAGAAACCTTTCTTATGCATACCCTTTATCTAATATAACACCCGACCTTAACCCTTTCACTCACTAATTCCTTTGCCCAGCTTAGACAACTAATCACTAACTCAACCACCCTTCACTAACATTAACTATAGTGCTACATGACCTTAGATGTCTAGCACATTTATCTTGCTTTTAACCATTAACCATTAACCATTAACCATCTAGAACGATTTCATGAAAATTAAACCTCAGATTGGAAAAAGGCTTACCTGAGAAAAGCTGATGTGCTAACAGAGAGTGGCAGATATTACAAAATATTGTTCACTGAAGAGCCTTATTTTGTCAGTGTATAAAGTCTCCTATACTGGCGTATGTAACTTGTGCTTAAAAATGTAAAATAAAAGGGAGATACAGGTCATAACTGCACCCAGCTATGGATATTAATGACATAATATTAACCCATTCACGACGGGTAAAAATGAACAAAAATGGGGGAAAATGCTGTGCTCATTTTTCATACTTTTGTGAAATGTCTCTACACACATTTGGCGGGAAAATGTATTTTTTACTAGTGCTATGAATTTCGAGGGTTATTTTTATTATAAACATTATAATTACTATAATGTTATAAACATTAGTAACAGCAAAATAAGATAACGTTAAAATATTTTCTTAAATTAATGAAAAGGGTAAACGGGAGAGACAGGCAGTACAAGTACAAGTGTAGCCATCTATGTGTATAAACAATTAAACAAGTAAACTCACAGTGGGCATGTCACGTATACGTGACACCTGGCATGAATGGGTTAAACCAATATATGACCAAGGCTGAGATGAACTCAGGCTGTCTGAACTGAACTCAAACAGGACAAACTTTGAGCATATTCTGAATGTTTTTCATTTTAATGAACCAATTAAGAATTTCAGACATAGTGTGATATCTGATCAAGGATCTATGAACTTAGTTTACAGCAAGATACAGAAAGAGTAACAGCAGCAGCATAATATAGATAAAGGATTGGTAATAATACCCCTGAAAGTTCCAATATATAAAAAGAGCATTTTGAATAGCTTGTGAGGAAGAAACTATGGGGGAAGACTGGAAGATTAGCAAGAAGAATTAGTCCCAGATAACGATTATCTCCTTTAAGGTGATAAATGGAATTAATATAGAAAGATCTTTTAAATGTGTATTTTATAGATTGTTACTATTATTCAGATTGTGTATAGTTGGATTACTATTACCAGTACAATAATTAGGGAAATGATAAGGACAACAATAATAGTAATATTAATAATAATAACAACAACACACAATAGTAATAATGATTATAATACAATGATAACAGTAATAATAACATCAATAATACTAATTCATGAATAACAACAGCACTATTATTATTGCCTAATATAATTGGGCACTGTTATTTCAATCAGTATTGTTACTATCATTGTTGAAACCATGATACAAGCATTATACATACATACATATATAAAACACACACACACACACACACACACACACACACACACACACACACACACACACACACACACACACACACACACACACACACACACACACACACACATATACACACACACACACACACACCACACACACACACACACCACACACACACACACACAC